TGTAGCAAGCCGTTGAGCACATTGTTCATTAAATTATCCTGTCAAGAGTTGAGCAATATTTTTTCTCTCGGCTTTCGCTTCTGCATTTGGTTCTACATTTTTTATATCAGAAGCTTTCTAGAAATAGCTAGATTGACGATTATTAAATATAATTTGCCTGTATTAATTTTTGAATATTAATTTTTTTAAAAATGTATACTTCCGCATCCGCTTCCGAAAAAATTAACTATTTACATATGTTTCTGCTGCTGCTTTTGTTTTGACCACTTTTGTTGCATCACTAATATTAGGTAAGAATTTCTTAAACTGATCACCATTGCTCATTTAAATAAAATTAAATTTTGAAATGTTTTGAAAATCGCGTTTAAAATAAATTTGTAATATATTAAATTAAATACTAATGGAGGGCAAATATACACTTATACACTAACTTTGGTGATATGTTAAACAAATATTAGAAATATTCCCCAATACCAACACAAAACACAAAGTGCTTAAAGCACTTTTCGCCAACGATCAATAGATAATTATCACTTTTAAGAAAAAAGTTTTACTATTTAAAAAAATTCTGTTAACTATTCCTTAATATATTAGGCGTGACATTTTTTTTCCTTTTCTATAAAATAAATATAATTCCAATTATAAAGCTTGAATACTGTTTTAAATGGCTTGTAGGTATTGTTATTTGAATTGTTATAACTACCTTCTTACATTTGTCATTGAAATTATTATAATACAACTATTTTAATCAATTAAAATTGAATTCTAAAAAACACATTAAAATTTTATCAAAGTAGTAAACGTAGAAACATCCCATAGGTACATAAGAACAAAGTTATTTAACCTTGATATAATAATTTAATGAATACATAAACGTTTATTAATTAGGTATGTATTTAGACCATCTCCAACATAAAAATAAAGGAGATAAAATTGGTTTTATATTATCATCAAGAAGGATAAACAACACTGAGCTCGGCTATAATATAAGCGTTTCTCCACCTGTTAGATAATGTACTATTAATGTAAAGTATTTTAAGTAGTTGGCATATTTTTACAGAATAATAACATTTGTTAATTATCTGCGTTTATTTACAACTATTTTCAATATCACAAATACCTAACTTATCAAGGTATTTAAGTAGCTAATTAAAAGCAATGGACGACAATAAATATTTGTTGTTTCTTTTAAAATATTCTAGTCAACATTACATATCTAAAAAATGCTATCAAAAACTAATAGCTTAATTGTTGTTTAAATAAAAAAATTCCTCTATTGATTCCATTCTTTCTTTTGTAAATTGTTTAAAAATAATTTGGTACCTCCTTAACCATAAATATTATATTTATCTAAAATATGTGGCGAACTTATCTAAAATTGTATTAGGTACAGTCAATAGCTATTTAGATAAGGGTGTTTGATTTGAAATTTTAATTGAGGAAATAAACTATAACTGTCATAATGTATTTTAAAAGTTAAATTGTTTAAATTTTAGACATGCACTGTGCATGATGCACATATTTGCAAACTTAATTGAATTTGATATTTTTTTGCTTTGAGAATTCTAAATCTAAGTTCTAAATAGTTCCGATAAAAAAATGCAGAATCGGATGTGAAAAAGTGTCCGTTGTTTCCCAAATAGTTTTTTTCACTTGGGTGTAATCTAAATTGTGAAAAAATGCTTCTATATCGGATTAATCGCATAACACATAAAAATTTGACATTTAAGGTTCCCAAGTTAGTTACTCTATTGTTTTATAGATGCCGAATAATACAAATATTTAATTTAAATCATTTTTAGATAAAATAATTAGTATTTGTCGTATAAAAAGTATAATTTGCAACTCGTTTATAAACTTTTTTAGGCACTCATTTAATTAGGCAAGTTCGCTCGTGGCTAAATTAAATTCATGTCTAAAATGGCGTTTATTAAACTTGATACATAATATACAATTTTGAGTACACAACTACTTGTTTATCTACTACAAAACGATAATGCATATTTTAATAAAAGTTATGAAGTCAATTATTAAGTGTTTTTTTAAAATCCATTGAGTTATAAACTCATTTGAAACGTACAATTATTTTAAAAAGATGTTATCATTCATTAATATTAATTCTTAATACCGTTTAAAGTAACCACTCTTAAATCTACATAATGATTATGCGTATTTTTTAGGATTGGGTGCAGTAAGTTATTTAAATGTTTTTTGAAAACCGATTGAATTATTCAGCTTGCAAATTGCAAGCTGCAATTCGGAAACGTCAAGTCTCGATGCAAAATAGGTTGAGTACCAGTTTTGATCGGCAAAATTGAGGGGCAATTAGAGCAAATAATCGTGTACAAATTATAACTTTTTATTTTAATTTTTTTGTGTAAAGGGTGGACCAAGTATAATATGTGTATTATTCAGTATAATTGATAGATCGATAGATTTATTAAGTAATAAACATTACATTAAACGTTAAACATTGTAAGTATTATTTGTGTTTTTTTCTCATTAAGTTTCCATACTTTAGGTGTTTTTAATATAGTTTGGGATTTTTCGTTCATACTATTGTTTTTGGGAACTTTAAAGATAATTGATGTATCATTTGCACTTTACTTTCTGGAATATTTGTATATAAGATAAATAGTACCCTACTGGACCTAAAATCGAACCCCATATGACGTGATTACTACTGTAACAGTGGAATATTCGTTTTCTCATTTAACAACTTAACGTCTATCCATTAGGTCATCCATTAGATTTTAATAGCTCATAAATAGAGATGGGATTTTAGTGTTATTACCTGATTTTATTTTACCTAAATTTTCATTTTCAAGAGAAATGGACCTAATTTTTACATTTTATTACCAATACTAGTGTAGGTAATTTTACTTATTTTACCTAAATGCTTATTTTTAACAAAAATTAACCAAATTTTCAAATTTTACAATTAAAAACATGCTTTTTTGTAATATTGGGGTTATCGTATTCGGATGACATAATTCTTATGCACCATGTAGTTATTTTTGTTGTACAGGATTAGTTGGGAGACTAGAAATTGCGACGCGAATGTGACATTCCTAAATTACCAGGTCTTATAACTTATAATTTAAGTTTCTAAAATATATTTAAGAAACTTAAGTTTTTTCAATCAATCTCATGTTATAATGTTTTATTTAAAAATATCATGTATTTTCACAAATTCAAGCAAATTTGTGCTTTTTTATGAGAAAGTATTTTTAAAAACATTTCTCATAATGAATGTGAATTTCTTATTTTTAGCAATTTTATGCTTATTAACAAAAACATTTTGAATATGCCGCCGCGGCGCATTAAAAAATTATAAAATTTATGATAGTATTACAATATTTTTACATGATATATTTGTCAGTTATTTTGAATTTTTCAAATCATAAAAATCTTACAATTTTATACAACAATAAATTATTTTACCACCTAAAAGTTGCTTTCCAGTACTTATTTTCGTGAAGTACGTACCTAATTTAAGAATTTTCTCACCTATAACAAGAAAAAACTTTACCTATTTAGGTAGGTACCTATTTTTATAAATTTGGCAACCTAAAACCCCATCTCTTCTCATAAACCATTCCCCTAGATCCATAATGTTCTGGTTTTCTTAAAAGTAGTCTATCCACCGAAAACTCTATTTTTTTAATTGAAGAGCTACAAGGTCGCCTAAATTAGAGAAAAGTTGGGTAATTACAAGCCTATTAAAATAAAATTTATAATTTATAAATATGCCGCCGGGTAAAATATTCTTACTAAATTAAAATAAAAAGGTATAATTATTATAATTTATAATCATAATATAATTCTCGATATCAGTGTTAGGATATCATCCGTAAAATTTTATAAATTATCAGAAAAATTGACTTTTGCATTTTTTTTATTAACCTTTAAATAAAATTTAAAAAATGAAAAAGTAAATTTTTCTGAAAATTTCACAATTTTATAATAAAATTAAATAAGTTTATCTCCACGCGGTCTATAATTTAAACTTTATTGTTGTCAACATTCGATAAAGAAATACCTTGTTATGGCCTAGGCCGATAAAAATTTTTACGAGGCAAGTAATTAGTTATTTTTCTCGCTAGGGGTATTGTTTTGACAAATTAATTCTTTTCTAAGAAATTAACGTACTAAACTGGTTTAATTTATTTATAATAAGCACTAATTTGTTTGTTTTACTGTTAATGTTTAATATTTTTCAATAAATTATGAACAAAAAGTGGGGTTAGGCAACCAAGAAAACGCACGATTCTTTTTCTACGATTTAAATTATCTTTAAGTTTTAATTTGCTTTAAGTTTTTAGTGAAATTAAATGTTAAACACAGCTTAAACATTCAAAACTACCTATTTTTTAAATAAAAATCCAAAAAAATTGAAATTAGATACCTACCTATTTATTAAACAATTAATTGAATTCAATGTAATAGCAAAAATCCATTTCTACTTTAATCATCTAGGTATTGTCAAACTATTACTGCTTTTATAAGCAATAATAATTATTGTACATTTAATGTAATCTTTAGCTAATAAATAAATGAGATTCTAAAAAAGTGAGGTTAGGCCGCTTTGATGTGGAATTAAATTGACCTATATAAAGTGCTTTGAAGATAAAATGTTGTATGCCATTCGGCCAAGAAGTGCCTTTTTGTGCTTCGCTCAATTGAAGGCCCCCGTAACGCGTCGGCCTTCAAACCTTGAGCTTAGCACAAAAAGCCTTACTTCTTAACCTAATGCCATAAATAACTATTTAACCTGTATCTATAAATTATTATTAATATTATTATTTTTGTTAAAAAATAAAACTTTTAATTTTTTTAAAACTTTAAATCTTTAATTTTGTATTTTACTTTTCTTTAAAGTTTTCTTTTCATTCAGATTTATTTTTATAGTTTAAATGTTTCCAAAAGGTACTTTCGATATTTTCCAAATTCAGTGAAATACTTCCAAACTCAACCGAATAAATATTTGGGCGACTTACCACAAATGAGAGCCAGTCCGAAGAGATTGGTGTCGAGCATGCCCTGCTGGGCGAAGTGCCTGCATGTTTGGTGATAGAGTTCTCTGACTCGGGACTTGGCCTGCACGACGAAGTAGAGGGTCTGCTGGTGCAGCAGATGGAGCGCGAGGAAGCGGGAGGACGGGGGGAGCGCTGCTACCGGGCTGCACGCGGCCAGGGGGGCGCTTACCGTGCACAGGCCGGCGCGCATGACCCGCTCATCTCTTCAGGGGATAGCGCCCGCCGCTCACCTACACACGCACCCATAAACGCCAACATGGAAACAAAAAGAAAGAACAAACACATTAACAATTATACGATATATGTACACTCAAATGCATATCTCTTAGCTTGAGAGCGAGTGCTTAATTAAATGAGTTCATAAACGAGTTGCATACTATACTTTTTCTACGACAAATACGAGCCCTAACACAAAAATGTTCGGACACTTCATAATTTATACAGAAATATTTTTCGTGAATACTATCTCAAAATTATTAGAAGTTATGAAAAATTCAGCTTATTTTGGCATATACCCCTCGAAGCAATTTTTATTTTTAAAAAGTTTACCTTTTATTTTTAGCTTTTAAAAAAAGGCTAAACTTTTTTTTGTATTAGTAAAAAAAGTTATAAATGGGCCCATTAAAAAGAACATAAAATATTATACAAACCCTGAAAATTTGGTAAAAATTGTATAAATAATAAGAAAGTTATAACAATATATATATCTGCAAAATCTCCCGTTTCCTAAGAAAATTGCAAAAACTCTTTTTAAATTACTTATACTTTTTTATAATTAATTTATTTTTTACCAAATTTTCAAGGTTTGTATAATATTTTATGCTCTTTTTAATGGGTCCATTTATAACTTTTTTACTCATACAAAAAAAAGTTTAAAAGTTAACCTTTTTTTTAAAGCTAAAAATAAAAGGTAAACTTTTTAAAAATAAAAATCGCTTCGAGGGGTATATGCTAAAATGAGCTGAATTTTTCATAACTTCTAATAATTTTGAGATTTCTGTATAAATTATGAAGTGTCCGAACATTTTTGTGTTAGGGCTCGTACATGTATGTATCTGCCGAATACATACAGGTACCCGTTTTAAGTGTATGTAAATGTTTGTATTGAAATATTTGGTAATTTTAAGTAAAGTATTAAAAAATAAGAACTAAAAGGGCAAAGATTTTAATTGTTTTTCAATATTATAGGTTCATAAATACCTACCAAAAATAAAATAGCGAAAATTATGCAAATTTTGTAAAATTTTGAAAATTCAGAAATTTTAGATTTTTTGGTACCATTTTTTAAATTTTTACTGTGCGAAATTGTCTTAATATTTTTAAAATGTGCGAATTTTCTACTATATTTAAATTTATGCTGCTGGGTCAGTCCATGTCAACTTAACACACCCATTTTACCACACCACCTCATATTTTCCTAAAATTTGGTATACTTATGTACTAAGACTAAGAAAAATACCAATTTTTATACGACTGACAAGGGTATTAATGAAAAGATTTTGTTCAAAATCCATATATACATATATATATATATATATATATATATATATATATATATATATATATTATTTAATTGATTTAATTTTTTTTCAAAAAGTATATAATTTAAAATTCTCAAAATATTTGTATAAATACTGTTGTAAATCATATAGTAAAATATAAATGTGGGGTCTTAATTGGTTCATTGTTAACAAAAAAATACAAGCCTGAATATTGTCAAAATTAGTTAAAAGTGAAAAACCAGCATAAGAAATATTTTTTTTTAACAATGAACCCAATAAGACCCCACATTAATATTTTATTATATGATTCACAACAGTACTTATTATAAAGTATTTATACAAATATTTTAAGAATTTTAAATTATGTACTTTTTGAAAAAAAATTAAATCAAAATATATGATATATCAATCATACTATAATTGCAAAATATTAAAACACAGTATTAAAAATTGTTATACACGAAATTTCTAACTTTGGGGATTCCCAAGCCGGTAGATGGCGTTAAAATCTCAAATTTTTCTGTGTAAATCAAAATTTATCCCTTGAAAATATAAACAATCGAAATGGAAGCAGTTTTTCACAGTAAAAGAAAAAATAATGTTTTATTGGCACTGTACGCACAATTTTTAAGGATTTATCAGTTAAATCTAGTTATGTCCACTACTACAGCGAAATCAAAAGGTCAGAACAAACGTTTATATAATCTTTTCAAATATTGGCGTCAAAAAACTATTTAAAACTTTTGTATTTTTGTATTGAGTTAATAAAATAATTTTCACATTTAGTATTATTTTACAAAAATGCACTTTATTTTAACGATTATATGACATTTGACAACTGTCAAGTAACTTAAAACTAACTTCAGCCAGTGACTAAAGTGCCATAAAGCCACAACGCTGTTCTACTTTTGAATCATTGTTAAGAGCTCAAAATTGGAATGAAACAGGATTAGAGTTAAATTTATAAGTAAAGAGTGACGTCATCACTCCCTAAAATTTAAAAAAAAAATCAAAAAAAACTTTGTTTTTCTACATCTCTACATTGGAGTTATAAATTACTGCCCCAACTAGGCATGTACAAATAATCACCTCAATTGGTCAATAAATCAAATTAGCGTAAGATAATTCTTTTTGATTAAAAAAGTAAAACTTTTTTGAAATCTGTAATAAGGTGAATGTACTGCTTACTCATATTTTAAAAGCGTTTTTCTACAAATTTTTATTCATATAAAGTACCATTTTACAGCGTTTATAACATAACAGTAGAAACAGTAATATCTAGTACCAAAATAACAAAATTTATAATACTTTTGGAATTTCAAATACTTAACGTATGTTACTAATTTTATACGTAACATAAAATGAATGTTTGGAGTTTTTTATTCTTTGAATTTACCATAAATGTAATTTTTTTCCATGGTTGTAAATTATATTAATAAAAATTAGACAGTGTTTTTTATAGAACAAAATTTGTGGTAGTGGGTGTGTGAAATTGACATTTATTTTATTAACGTAGATTATATCTTAATTTTGTAATGTTTTAAATGAGCAAGTGGGTATTAGGTACCTTTACGCTATTGTTTAATTTATAAAACATATAAATTGATAAAAAACCTTGTAGGTACCTATTTGGGAAAACCTTATATTTATTCATAAATTAATGAAAGTACTACAACTTTATTGGTATTATAATAATGTATTAAATAATGTGGCTCTCAATTATGAAATAAAATTCGTTATTTGATGATTTAGTTACGCAAGGCCAATAAATAAAAAAGTTTAGTTTTTTAATCTATATTGAAAACTTAAGAAAATTTGAGAACCGCTTATTTTTTGTCCATTTTTCAAATTCCATTTTATAGGCTGGTAAGTACATGACAGTACATCACATAAAAAACATACCCATACTACAAGGATATTTAGTGCAACCTGTACACAACTATTATTACTAATTAAAATTACCATTTTATAAAACTTATATTTTATTTTGAATGATATTTAGTAAATTAAACGTTACAGTTATTAACCACTTATTTAGTTTAATTTAAAAACATAATTATGTGTTATTTTTTTCCATGCACGGTAATTGCAATTAGGTATAATAATTAATTTAATTAATTTATAGAGAGTTCTTTAATATCATTTTATTCTGGTACTTTGAAAAAATGGTGTTTATGAATAAAAAAATCTAATGTAGATATAATAAACTGTTTTAAAGTAAATATGATTTATCTTTAAGCGTTCTATAATTTAAACTTGTGATTGATTATCACCTAGGCTGTAAAAATAATTTAAACCAATCAGGTAACGTTTTTTATCATACTGTCTGACCAATCAAAAAATTCGACTATTGTCAGATCTCGCTAACCTCACTTTTTACTTTTATTAATTATTATTATAATTGTATGTTTTATTTAGGCATTTTTTTAACAAATAAAATTAAGCTTTAAAGAAATAATGTTGTATGCCATGCGGCTGAAAAGTGTCTTTTTGTGCTTCGCTTAATATTATTTGCCTAATCTCATAGATAATTATTACTTTTAAATAAAAAGACGGTTTTTTTATTCTACTCTACATATTAACCATAATATAATATTGATAAATAATAATATAAATGTTGAAATATATTTTTTTATAATTGTAGGGTGTAAAGTACCACTTTGGCATGGCCGATGTTTAATTAATAACTGTAATTTGATATGTTTATTTGTAATGGGCGCCAGTTATAATATGCTGGAATGTAGATGACCTTCAATAGTCAATATGGGTGTGTTTTGTTTGTATTTCAAGTTAAGGTAAAAATAAATAAAATTTAGCACTTCGCATGTGAAAAATGTTAGTCAGCGTCACAGACTTAAAAAATATTTTGTAATTTTGTTTACTTTTTTTATATTACATAAGTGAAATAATTTAAAAATATACAAGAAAAAAACAAAAAATATATATAAATTGTGTAAATGTTCATTTTTAAAACCTAAATAAAATAATTATGAAAAAAGTCGAAAAAACTATTTTTTGTTTTATTTTATTTATATTTTTTATAGGTAATTACGCTTTATATGGACCATTTTTATTTTAAAATATAGAAAATGATTTTTAAATATATTTTTTTTACTAAATATTAATTAAACTAATTTGAGTAGGTATTTCAACTAATTTTATGTTTAATCATTGAGCACGAGCGAGTTCTTAAATTAATGAGTGTATAGAAAAGTTTATAAACGAGGTGCATACTATACTTTTTTTACGACAAATACTTATTATTATCTTAAAATGATTTAAATCAAATATTTTAATCATTGAGCACGAGCGAGTTCTTAAATTAATGAGTGTATAGAAAAGTTTATAAACGAGGTGCATACTATACTTTTTTTACGACAAATACTTATTATTATCTTAAAATGATTTAAATCAAATATTTTTATGGAGCGCCATCTATGAAACAATAGGGGAATCTGTGTGTCACCGTCAAATGTCATTTTATAAACACAGATTATAGAGGTTATAAATCGAAATGTATTTCTTGAAAATGGACAGTTTTTTACAGTGAAAGTAAAGAAAATGTTTTATGAGCACTTTACAGTGGAGTCCTTGCCCGAATTTAAGTTATAGTTTACTGCTAGCGAAATTAAAAGGTCAGTACAATGTTCATAGAAAATTTTCCAATATTGACGTTGAGAAACTATTTAATACTTTTGTATTTTTGTATTGAGATAATAAAATAATTT